TCTCTCTCTCTCTTTCTTTCTTTCCCTTTCTTTCTCACTCTCTCTCTGTAATTCTGCCTTTCAAGTAGATCAATAAATCTTTATAAAAAATCATAGAAAATACAAGAAAGTGAAGAATATACCAAGGATAAAAGTAAAAGAATAAAAATAACTTAAAACTAAAAATAGTAATAGAGATGTTCAACAAAACCAAAAACTGGCTATTTAAAAAGCCCAGAAAATAAATTTCTAATAAGAGGAATCAAGGGGAAAACATAAGGCACAAATAAACCATACCAAGAATGTGAGGGAAAAGGAAATAACTACAGAAAACCAGAACTCAAAAGACAAAAAAAAAAAAAAAAACTCTAATGAAGTGTGTTGATATATATGAAAAATATATCAAAATCCATGTTTTAGAAAAAATACTAAAATTAATTTATAAACTTTAAAATGGTCACATTTATCTTTTTAAAGATAAATGCATTTTTAAAAAGGTAAATGATACTTAAAGATCCTCTCCCTAAGAAAATATACCAAATATACCAGGCCCAAACCCTTACAGACAGCTCTATCAAATCTACCAGAAACAAGTAACCCACATTTTATGCAAACTGTTTCAGAGTTTGGGAGAAAGAAGAAACTTACCCATTTCACTTTGTAAAACTAAACAGAGAGTAATCTCCAAACTAGGCAGAGAAAACACAAGAGAACCATTGGTCACTGTCATTTGTAAATGTCAAATCAAAAATTTTATTTTTTAATAAGTGAAATTCTGCATGTAGCAAAAGAATAACACATCATAAACACGAGGCCCTGCCCCAATGATCCAAATATATTTAATGTGTAAAACTATATCAATTTAGTCATGTTAATGATTAAATGAGATCAATAATCTTAAAAATTTTGGAGGAAAAATTTAATTAGCCTCAATCACTAAATGGAACCCTCTCATTACAGCAAGTAATGGAAGCATACCCATTAAAGTAAGAAAGAAAAAAACAGTGATATCCACTACCACTGTTCCCATTCAATATTGCTTGAGAGGTCCTAGCTAATATGTTAAGGCAAGGAAATGAAACAAATATTAGAAAGAAAATAATGATTGTTATGGCTCTCATTTTTGATTCTTCAGCACCTATCAATCAGATGGGAAGAGATTACAACCCTGTCCCAGAACTGGATTCACAGTCCAGATTCAGAGAAAACTAAGACCTCACAGCCTTAGCCACAGTCAATACTACAGAATTAGGAATAAGAAGAAAGCCAGGTCAGCTGTATTCTTCGTTGGAATTTTTTTCTAATGCTGTATTATTCTTTGTTTCCCAAAGATAGAAGCAAATTAATTTGACTGCTAACAACCTTATTTCCTTGCATAAACAGTAAACCCATTTACAAAAGACAAGAATTAATCCAAAAGCAGTACAAAAATAATGGCAGAAGAAAAGCACCTTACTAGTATTAATTTCCTAGTTTTAGTCCATCTGATCTAAGGCTCAAGAGGCTCTTGAAAAAATATTCTTCTCTTTCTACTGATTTTTCAATCCATCCTTGGAAATTAGGGGATGAAAAAAGTAACTGTATGAATTCTAACCTAGACATTTCCAGTTTCCCTATTGCCTAGATCTTTAAATGTTGCAAGCCTCTCCAGTGTTTGTCATTATTACCATCAAGTCCTGGTTAATGTTCTTTGTAATTTTCTGTATTTAGGTAAAAGAACATGTGAATAAATATTTGAGACTTTCCATGAGGGTTAAATGATTTGGGGACAAAGGAAGCAAAAGGACAGATCACCAATACCTATTTACCATTTACTATATTCAAGGTTCTGTGCTCAGCAATTAAGTATCTTAATCTTCTATCTTTTCTTCAAGGGAAGTATTGTTATCCTATTTATCCATAAATATAGTGATATTCAAAAAATAAAAAGTAAATTTCCTAATGTCATATAACTAATTAGTGTTGAGACAAATGTGAAACTCTGGCAAATCTTTCTGATTTGCCATGAGTATTGGAGTGAGCCTGCTTGAAAATGACAAAAATTAATTAATTGAAGAGTTAAGTAGGGCCGGTGCCGCGGCTCACTAGGCTAATCCTCCGCCTAGCGGCACCCGCACACCGGGTTCTAGTCCCGGTCGGGGCGCCGGATTCTGTCCCGGTTGCCCCTCTTCCAGGCCAGCCCTCTGCTGTGGCCAGGGAGTGCAGTGGAGGATGGCCCAAGTGCTTGGGCCCTGCACCCCATGGGAGACCAAGAGAAGCACCTGACTCCTGGCCCCTGCCATCAGATCAGCGCGGTGCGCCGGCCGCGGCGGCCATTGGAGGGTGAACCAACGGCAAAGGAAGACCTTTCTCTCTGTCTCTCTCTCTCACTGTCCACTCTGCCTGTCAAAAAATAAAAAATAAAAAAATAAATAAAAAAAGAGTTAAGTAAAAAAGTTCTTCCAATAAATGCAACAGAGAGGGAATACTGAGTCTCTTTGATATTTAACCTGCATTCTGTACAATTGATGGCTGCTGGAACAATTCTCTGCTTCAGGAACTTAATCTATTTGTATCTTTGATCAAGAAAAACTTTAATTCTTCCTCGGACTCTTCTATACTTTCTCTAGTTCTTCTTTTTCCACAAAACCCTGAGACCTAAATATTGCCCAAATTTCTATCATTGATTCTACTTTTTACTTCTTTTGTAGTTTATCATTCAACAAATTTATTTATTCATTCTCTGTCCTCAAATACCATACCCTAACAGGTGATTACCAAATTTCCTTCATTTGCAATGAGTGTACTCAAAACTCCAGTCCCACATACAAAATTAGGACATAGACAGTAGGACATTCTAATAATACTATAAATGTAATATGACCAAATCTGTACATAATCTTCCCACCAAGTAAGCTTGTACTTCTGTGTGTTCATGATCAATTGCATTCCTATCCTCTGGCTCACAACCCTATAGTGCTCTCATTTGTTTAGGTCATTTTGTCTCATGGAATGATGGATTTGTAACTTTTATTGATTTTTTTTCTTGCCCACTATATTGATTTTATCCACTCCATTATTACTTGAAAACTTCATTACTCTCACTTGAATATTTTTTTTAATTCCCTAACTTTTATAGATATTTCCAGTAGCTGACATCTTTACTCCCCAAAATTTGTGTAATCCATACATTCAACAAATATTTATTGTGCAAAAACTATATATCAAGCATTATACTAGATACAAGCAATACACAAATGAATAGGAAAGCAGATAAGCAAATTTACAAGTATACTAAATAAATACGTGATGTGTGAGAAAATTCAAAAAAAAAAAGAGGAAAACTCAGCACACAGCAGTCCATACAGTCCACACATAGATTCATAGAATGGCAACTGCTTTAAGTAACACTTTGACCTCAAAATCAAAGTAACACTTTGACCCTTAAGGCATTTGGGTGTGGCTGAAAAGCCCATGAGAGCATTTCAGGCATGGAAAACTCTAAGACACTGTAGCAAAAATGATCTTTGTGAATAAGACCCCTTTGGAAAGAAGTGGCCATCAAAGAAGGATGTAATTTTCTCTGAAGGGAGGAGAGAACTTCTACTTTGCTTATGGCTTTGTCTAAATACTGACAGAGTTTGTGGTCACAAAAGGCCTCCATAGCCTTGGCAGCTCATGGCAAGAGCCTCAGGTGATCAAAGACATCATAAATAAGAGTGTTAATTGTTAAATTAACAACAGAAGTCACTATGCACTTACTCCCCAGTAGGCCCTCTGTCAATGAGTTGTGTTATGCGAATTAACTGCAAAGCTTGTTCTCAAACAGTACTTTATATGTTGTGTGTGTATGTGCATGTGTGTGTGTGTGTGCAAGCTGTTGAAATCTTAGTATAGAGTTGGTCTTCTGTATATAAAGTTAATTCAAAATAAATCTTAATAAAGAATGGGAGAAAGAGTGGGAGGTGGGATTGGACTGGGGGTGGGAGGGTGGATATGGGGAAAAACACTATATTCCTAAAGTTGTACCTATGAAATTTGCATTCATTATATAAAATCTTTAAAAAACAAATAAATAAGTATGGCCTAGGAATTGCTGAATAAACCCTTCTAGAACAACATTAAATATAATGGACTGGGTCCCATGCTGTGGCATAGTAGGCTAAGCCCCGCCTGCAGCACGGTATCCCATGTGTGCACCAGTTCATGTCCTGGCTGCTCCTCTTCTGATCCAACTCTACCAGTGGCCTGGGAAAGGAGGGGAAGATGGCTTAAGTGCTTGGACTCCTGAACCTGGGCAGGATACGCAGAAGAAGCTCCTGGCTTCTGGCTTCAGATCGGCCCAGCTCTAGCTGTTGCTTCCATTTGGTGAGTGACCCAACAGATGAAAGAACTTTCTTTCTGTCTCCCCCTCTCTCTGTAATTCTACCTCTCAAATAAAAATAAATACATAAAATAATAAATAAGTAAATATTTTTAAAAAGGAAGCTTCCCAGTGGGAGGGATGTCTGAGCTGAGTCCTAAAGATACAAATGAACCCTCCGTTCTCCCATGGCTATTTTTCATACATGGTACTTCAAAGTGCTTATGGAAAAATGGAATCAAAAGATAAATTTATTTTGGTGCAAAATATTTGAAATACACACATGGCTGTTTTTCACAATACACATTTTCATGAACATTTTGAAGACCACTTGTCCTTGTATAAACTTGCTATTTGGGGTATAATATAGAACCCATAAGGCAGGCTGTTTTATTACTTGCTTTCCTCCATGGGATATTTCTCTAGATATTTTTTGAGAGGGCAGAAGTTTGGGAAATTTTATTCTTTCAGTTCTGTATGTGCCTGTGAAAAGATTTTCTCTGCTCAGTAGGATATTTTTTAAACTGCCTCCTCTACCTTTCACTGAATCAAATAACTGCTGGATACCAATAAGGATTTAAGAAGCCCTTTAGTGAATGGTTTCAAGTGGTAGCAGAGGAAATAGGTATCATGTTACAAATAGAGCCTTTATATTCCCTGCTACCAACAAAGTTGAAACTTCCCCTCCTAATTACCACATGTAAGCCTACCTCTGATCCATATATCCCTCTTCATTCTCTGTCACTATCTCTATTAAACATTCCAGCAGAAATAATCAGGTATCCTTTGACTGTTGAGTTATAAAGTGTTGCGTTCTTAGTTGTAGAATGCCAATGCGCACTCCTTCGCCTAGTGTTTGCTACTCTGCAAAAAGTCTGGCTCTGATTTATCACGTCTAGCAGTAAGGGTTGGAGGGAAAGGAAGTAAGGAGTGAGCTCTGACCCTGCTGATGGAGGGAGGATATAAAATGGCCAGGGAAATCCATTATGGAATATTTCTATTACTTCTACAGAGTTTCTAAAAGCAGCTAGTTCTACCCAAGGATTTTTTTGTCTCTGATAGCTCCTCCATAAAGTGATTTTTTTTTTTGACAGGCAGAGTGGACAGTGAGAGAGTGAGACAGAAAGAAAGGTCTTCCTTTTGCCATTGGTTCACCCACCAATGGCCACCGCGGCAGGCGCATCGCGCTGATCCGAAGGCAGGAGCCAGGTGCTTCTCCTGGTCTCCCATGGAGTGCAGGGCCCAAGCACTTGAGCCATCCTCCACTGCACTCCCGGGCCATAGCAGAGAGCTGACCTGGAAGGGGGGGGGCAACCAGGACAGAATCCGGCGCCCCGCCCAGGACTAGAACCTGGTGTGCCGGCGCAGCTAGGTGGAGGATTAGCCTATTGAGCTGCGGCGCCAGCCCATAAAGTGATTCTACAAAAAGAATTCTCATCTCTTTGTAAAGATGAGCATTGCTTTTATTAACATAGCTATATATTGCTTCTGAAATAATACTTTGGCTTTACTGCACTAATTTTTCACTCTCAATCCTGTGTTGTATCTTAAAACTTTATATCTAACTTCACTTGACATTGAAATTTACCACCCCAAGTCTCTTCAGGACCCAGGATATAGGGAAAAAAAATCTATGTCAACTTTAGACTTAAAACTTTTAGGCACCAGGAACCATGTACTATTTTCCTTCCATTGGCCAGGATTTAATACAGAGCATGACACATAGAGCTTTCTTGGTCAATGTTTGATGAAGGAATGAATTCGGACATTGAACATCCTCCCAAAAACTTCCTCCACAAAAACTGCTATTGTCATGCCCTTTCTCATTCTATTATATCTTGGGTCTATTTTAAGAATCTAAGGAACAAAGATCTAGATTTGTGTATCTCTCTTGTCAACCTGAGTTGAAATCATCAAGCATCTTTGGAGAAGATACAAGGAAAAAAACTGTACCTTGTTAGACACCACAGGAAACAATTTAAAAGACCTGTCTATGAGCCCCTTCTGCCCACATATGTCACTGCTGTATTATGTTACAAACTTTTGTATCAAAGCAGTATCCTGTACTTGAGAAAAATAAAACATCTAGTTACCTGGCCTGAATTGTGAAACTAGTATGGAAAGTTCCTAATGTTTTTAGATGCAAATCAGATAGAGTGGATTTAAAAGCCTGAATACAGGATACGGAAGTATTTTCTCTTATTAACATGTTGCTGCATCATTTTGAAGTTGGCAATGAAAGATGTCTCTAAAGACTGTAGTTGTGACAGAATTTGAGTCACTGACCTTTTTAGAAATGGAATCAGAGGTAAGAAAACAGGAGTTGAGTGGTCTAGATCTCAGTACCCTGTACAGTGAGGATCACCACAACTGCAACTTGGCGATGGGGAAGGGTCTGGTAAACTGCGGGCATCAGGCAATGAGGAATTCAGTCTCATAAAGGGATCTCAGTGAGTTTAGATGCAAATTTACTATATAAACTTTAGTCCTACACTGGATATGGAATTTCAAAGCAGGCATTTGGAGCAGTGTTTAAATCCCTCTTGGGATGCCTGCATCCCATACCAGAGTGCCTAGGTTGAGTCCTGGCTTCTTAGATCTGATCTGATTTCCTGCTAATGTGCACCCTATGAGACAAAAGGTGATGGCTCAAGTACTTGGGTCTCTGCCAGTCCCGTGGGAGACCCAGATGGATGGAGTTCAGGCTTCTGGCTTTGGAGGGCTATTGTGGGTATTTAGGGAGTAAAGAGTGAACCAGTGGATGGAAGATGGCAGTCCTCTCTCTCTGTTCTCTGGTTCTTGGTTCTCTCTCTCTCTTTCTCTCTCTCTTTCTCCTTCTCTCCTTGTCTTTCAAATTAAAAGTAAATAAATAAATAAATAAGTAAAATTTCAAACAAATCCTTGAATTTCAGATTTGGAAAGATTATCACTTTCTTAGCTAATCTAATCCATATTACTATTCTCATCACCTATTTTTTATTCTTCTAATTTAAGCTTAATTTGCACATCCCCAGTAACAAGAAAAAAAAATTTTCATACAGAGAAAAATATTCCATAATTAAGCAAATACAACTGAGTGATAGAATAAAAAATCATGTTGAACAATTCAACAAGATACTACTTTTCTATAGGTCTATGTGTGCTCCTATAATGAAAGGTATAGGAATTTCTCAGTAGAATTTTTTAATTATTTATTCATTGTAAAAACAGAATAACAGAGTGAGAGCTAGAGAAAGCGAGCTTCTGTTCTCTGGTTCACTCCCCAAATACCTGCAACAGCCAAGATTGGCCAGACTGAAGCCAGGAGCCAAGAACTTCAACCAGGTCTCCCAGCTATGTAGCAGGAAGCCAAGTACTTGAGTTATCATTTGCTACACCCTACATGCATTCGTAGGAAACTGGATTAGAAGGGGAGTACCCAGAATTCAAACCAACACTCCAATATGGGATGCTGACATTATAAGCAGCAGCTCAATCTACTGGGCCACTACACCAGCTCCATATGCCAGTATTCTTATCTCATTGTGGTGTTATTGTTCTATTTGTCTGATTTTCCTGCAAATCTTTAAAATCCTTGAGGGAAGTTAGAATTTTATTCATCTTTTTATCTTCACATAGAGCAGAGTATCTGATAGATGGTTGACACAATAATTGTTTCAAATATTTTTGTTCTAAATTCAAAATCCAACAACAAAAACTTAATTTCTCTTCTATATATCTCTCCATTAGGGTATGATTTCCAGAGTCTTTTCAAGAAATTGAAATACTGCAGTCTATTCTCAAGAGGATTCAGAGGGGTGGGAATTTGGCCCAATGGTTAAAATGCTGCCTGGGATGCCCATATTCCATTTTGGAATACCTGAGTTCCAGTCCCAGTTCTGCTCCTGATTTAAGCTTCTTGCAAATATGCAACCTGAGTAGGAAGCAGCTAATGGCTAGAGGAATTTTGTCCCCACCCACGTAAAAGACCCAGATTGAGTTCCCAACTGTTGTGAGCATTTGAGGAGTAAACCAGTGTGTAGGAAATTTCTACCTCTCCCTCTCTATTTCCCTCTCTCTCTCCCTCCTCCTCCCTCTCTGTTTCCCTCTCAAGTAAGTAAAATATTTTTTATAAAAAAAAGAAGAGACAGATGACAACCAGAGTCATGCATTGTATACAAGATCCAAAACAAAATTATTCATCAGACCTCTCCAATGCACAAATAATTGTTTAGGCCTCTCTGGGAATTGGAAAAGGACAAAAAAAAAAAAAAAAGAGTCAAAGCATAATCTCAAAACATTGTTTACCTTATTATACAGATATAATTCAAATTTTTAAAGGACTATAATAAGGACTCTGTTTTTTCTCACTAAAGTAAAATGGGCTGAATTTATGTGGGTGAGGAAAATAAACTGAAGTAAAGCAGATTCTTTCAGAATCCTGGTGAAAGCTAAGTAGACTGCTAGATCAAACATTTCATCGACCCAGCAAACTTCCTTTTGGGGATAGCTGAGTTGACTAGAGTGGCATACAGGCTGATTCACTTATAGAACCAGCAGTTAGCAGTGGTGTTGTTCTTTGAGTCCTGATTGTTAGAAAGTGAGAGGGAAATTTTTGATTTTGTGAGTAGACTTGTTCAGTCAGTTAGCACATTTGTGACCATAGAGGCTACCCCCTTTGGAGAGCATCCACTGCTTAGGAAATAACTCTCAAAAGGGTTGCAACCCCCCTATTCACTATATAAAAGTCAGAGAAAACATGCTCCAAGAAGGACTTTTATATTGGAATTCTGGCATAGGAACATTTTTCGTTAAACAATTTCACCAATGGTACTTCAGAAAATATAGATTCAAAAAAAGTCTAACTTCCCATCAGCAGTCCTGACCTGCTTTAATATATTAAAGGAAATAACTACATGCCAGATGAATTTAATTCAATGATTATATTCCTTTTATTCTTCAAACATCTGTTTAATCCACTTAACCCACTTACAGGATCATCCTATATTCCAAATGTTGATTTCTCATAAGAGTGCAAATTATGCATTGATGTACACCACTTCACTCTTGTCTAATTTCCTGGTAAACACTGGAATGCAGATGAAATTTGGGTTTTAACACAACAACAAACACACCCAGAGACACTCAAGATATTTTCATGAAGGCAATAAGAGAGGGTTCCTTCATTTCTATTATAGGAAGCCCCAAAAGAAGCTGATAATGAAGTGGATCAATCCCTGTATCTTTTTATATTTCCTCACACAGAATATTTTTTTTTAACTTTTATTTAATAAATATAAATTTCAAAAGTACAACTTTTGGATTATAGCAGCTTCCCCCCCCCCATAACCTCCCTCCCACCCACAACCATCCCATCTCCCACTCCCTCGCCCATCCTATTCACATCAAGATTCATTTTAAATTATCTTTATATACAGAAGATCAATTTAGTATTTACTAAGTAAAGATTTCAACAGTTTGAACCCACACAGAAACACAAAATATAAAGTACTGTTTGAGTACTAGTTATATTGTTAATTCGCATAGTGCAACACATTAAGGACAGAGATCCTACATGGGGAGTAGTGCACAGTGACTCCTGTTGTGGATTTAACACTTGACACCCTTATTTATGACATCAGTAATCACACGAGGCTCTTGTCATGAGCTGCCAAGGCTATTGATGCCCCTTGAGTTCTCCAACTCCGATCTTATTTAGACAAGGCCATGGTCAAAGTGGAAGTTCTCTCCTCCCTTCAGAGAAAGGTACCTCCTTCTTTGATGGCCCGTTCTTTCCACTGGGATCTCACTCACAGAGATCTTTCATTTAGGTCCCATTTTTCCCAGATTGTCTTGGCTTTCCATGCCTAAAATACTCTCATGGGCTCTTCAGCCAGATCCAAATGCCTTAAGGGCTGATTCTGAGGCCAGAGTGTTGTTTAGGACATCTGCCATTCTATGAGTCTGCTGTGTATCCAAATTCACATGTTGGATCATTCTATCTTTCTTAATTCTATCAGTTAGTATTAGCAGACACTAGTCTTGTTTATGTGATCCCTTTGACACTTAATTCTTTTTTTTTATTTTTTGAAGATTAGTTTTACCATTAATTCTCATAGTACAACACATTAAGGACAGAGGTCTTGCATGTGGAACAAGTGCACAGTGACACCTTTTGTTGATTTAACAATTAACACTCTTATTTATGACGTCAGTAATCACCCGAGGCTCTTGTCATGAGCTGCCAAGGCTATTGGAAGTCTCTTGAGTTCACAAACTCTGACCTTATTTAGACAAAGCCATAAGCAAAGTGGAGGTTCTCTCCTCTCTTAAGAGAAAGGTACCTCCTCTTTTGATGGCCCGTTCTTTCCGCTGGGATCTCACTCTTTCATTTAGGTCACTTTTTGCCACAGTGTCTTGGCTTTCCATGCCTGAGATACTCTCAAGGGCTATTTAGCCAGATCCGAATGCCTTAAGGGCTGATTATGTGGCCTGAGTGCTGTTTAGGGCATCTGCCATTCTATGGGTCTGCTGTCTATCTTGCTTCCCATGTTGGATCATTCTCTCCCTTTTTTATTCTATAGGTTAATATTTGCAGACACTAGTCTTGTTTGTGTGATCCCTTTGACTCTTAGACCTATCATTATGATCAATTGTGAACAGAAATTGATCACTTGGACCAGTGAGATGGCATTGGTACATGCCACCTCGATGGGATTGAATTGGAATCCCCTGGCAAGTTTCTAACTCTACTGTTTGGGGCAAGTCCGATTGAGCATGTCCCAAATTGTACCTCTCCTCCCTCTCTTTTTCCCACTCTCATATTTAACAGGGATCGCTTTTCAGTTAAATTTCAACACCTAAGAAAAATTGTGTGTTAATTTAGAGTTTAACCAATAGTATTAAGTAGGACAAAAAAAATTACTAAACAGGATAAAGTATTAAATTGTACATCAACAGTCAGGACAAGGACTGATCAAGTCACTGTTTCTCATAGTGTCCGTTTCACTTCAACAGGTGTCCTTTTTGGTGCTTGGTTAGTTGTCACTGATCAGGGAGAACATATATTATTTGTCCTTTTTGGACTGGCTTATTTCACTCAGCATGATGTTTTCCTGATTCCTCTATTTTGTTGAAAATGACCGGATTTCATTGTTTTTGACTGCTGTATAGTATTCTATATAGTACATGTCCCATAATTTCTTTATCCAGTCTACTGCTGATGGGCATTTGGGTTGGTTCCAGGTCTTAGCTATTGTGAATTGAGCTCTAATAAACATTGAGGTGCAGATAGCTTTTTGGTTTGCCAATTTAATTTTCTTTGGGTAAATTCCAAGGAGTGGGATGGCTGGGTCGAATGGTAGGGTTATCTTCAGGTTTCTGAGGAATCTCCAGACTGACTTCCATAGTGGCCTTTCTAACCAGGGTGAGGTGAAACATTGTAGTTTTGATTTGCATTTCCCTGATTGCTGGTGATCCTGATCATTTTTTCATGTGTCTGTTGGCCATTTGGATTTCCTCTTTTGAAAATGTCTATTGAGGTCCTTGGTCCATCTCTTAAGTGGGTGGTTTGTTTTTTTGTTGTGGATTTTCTTGATCTCTTTGTAGATTCTGGTTATTAATCCTTTATCGGTTGCAAAATATTTCTCCCATTCTGTCAGTCGGTAGCCTCTTCACTTTCCTGACTGTTTCTTTTGCAGTACAGAAACTTCTCAATTTGATGCACTCCCAATAGTTAATTTTGGCTTTGACTGCCTGTGCCTCCGAAGTTTTTTCCAAGAAGTCTGCCAGTGCCAATATCTTGCAGGGTTTCTCCAAAGTTCTTTAATAATTTGATGGTGTTTGGTTGTAGATTTAGGTCTTTAATCCATGTTGAGTGGATTTTTGTGTAAGGTGTAAGGTAGGAGTCTTGCTTCATGCTTCTGCAAGTTTTTATCCAGTTTTCCCAGCACCATTTACTGAATAGACTGTCCTTGCTCCAGGAATTCGTTTTAGATCCTTGATCAAAGATAAGTTGGCTGTAGATGTTTGGATTGATTTCTGGTGTTTCTATTCTGTTCCATTGGTCTATCCATCTGTTTCTGTACCAGTACCATGCTGTTTTGATTACAATTGCCCTGTAGTATGTATTGTGATGCCTCCAGCTTTGTTTTTGTTGTATAAGAGCTTTAGTTTCGAGGTTTCCTGTGCCTCCATATGAATTTCAGCATCATTGTTTCCATATCTGAGAAGAATGTCTTTGGTATTTTGATTGGTATCGCATTGAATCTATAAATTGCTTTAGGGAGAATGGACATTTTGATGATATTGATTCTTCCAATCCATGAGCATGGAAGATTTTCCATTTTTTGGTATCCTCCTCTAATTCTTTAAGATTTTGTAATTCTGGCCGGCACCGTGGCTCAATAGGCTAATCCTCCACCTTGCGGCGCCGGCACACCGGGTTCTAGTCCCGGTCAGGGCGCCGGATTCTGTCCCGGTTGCCCCTCTTCCAGGCCAGCTCTCTGCTATGGCCAGGGAGTGCAGTGGAGGATGGCCCAGGTGCTTGGGCCCTGCACCCCATGGGAGACCAGGAAAAGCACCTGGCTCCTGGCTCCTGCCATCGGATCAGCGCGGTGCGCCGGCTGCAGCGGCGGCCATTGGAGGGTGAACCAACGGCAAAGGAAGACCTTTCTCTCTCTGTCTCTCTCTCTCACTGTCCACTCTGCCTGTCAAAAAAAAAAAAAATCTCTCTGTCACTCCCTTTCTCTATAACTCTTCCTCTCAAATAAATAAATAAAATATTTAAAAAAAAAGATTTTGTAATTCTTTGATGTCTTTGGTTAAGTTTATTCCTAAGTATTTGATTGTTTTTGTAGCTATTGTTAATGGGATTGATCTTTTTTTTTTTTTTGATAGGATGTATTGAGTCTGTAATTCACTTTGTTTTTTTTTTTAACTTTTATTTAATGAATATAGATTTCCAAAGTACAGCTCATGGATTACATTGGCTTCCCCCCTCCAATGACTTCCCTCCCACCCACAATCCTCCCCTTTCCCACTCTCTCTCCCCTTCCATTCATATCAAGATTAATTTTCAATTTTCTATATATACAGAAGATCAGTTTAGTATACATTAAGTAAAGATTTAAACAGTTTGCACCCACATAGAAACACAAAGTCAAAAATACTGTTTGAGTATTCATTATAGCATTAAATTTCAATGTACAGCACATTAAGGACAGAGATCCTACATGAGGCATAAGTGCACAGTGACTCCTGTTGTTGACTTTACAAATTGACACTCCTGTTTATGGCATCAGTAATCTCCCTATGTTCCAGTCATGAGTTTCCAAGGCTATGGAAGCCTTTTGAGTTCACCGACTCTTATCTTATTTAGACAAGGTCATAGTCAAAGAGGAAGTTCTCTCCTCCCTTCAGAGAAAGGTACCTCCTTCTTTGATGACCTGTTCTTTCCACTGGAATCTCACTCACAGAGATCTTTCATTTAGGTTTGTTTTGTTGTTGTTTGTTTGTTTTTTGTTTGTTTGTTTTTTGCCAGAGTGTCTTGGCTTTCCATGCCTGAAATACTTTCATGGGCTTTTCAGCCAGATCTGAATGCCTTTAGGGCTGATTCTGAGGCCAGAGTGCTGTTTAGGACATCTGAATGGGATTGATCTTAGCAGTTCTTTCTCAGCCAAGGAATTGCCTGAACACATACTTTCTTTTTGTTTATGTTTAATAAACATTTTCTCTTCTCAAACTCTCCTTCAAATCATGGATGAACTGGGAAGAGCCCCCAGTAATCCAGAATCATTCTCTTAATAAAACCTTTGCTAGAGAATTACTCTCAGTTTTCTATTCTATGTGCTAAAAATGTCAAACAACAACTGAAAACACCACATGAGTCCATATTACAATACAATGTGATGAATCTGCATCATTACTGAAGTTCTCCCTACTCCACCTTTGGAAAAAATAGGAAGACCACACAAAAGAACTGGCAGTGGTAATTTCTCCTCTGTTATAGGCCAACTGAAATAAAATGGTATTTCCAGTGCAAGTTTTTAGATAAAGATAACTACTGAACACTTTTGGGCAGATATCCTA